GCGCGAGCGGTACGGCAGGGCGTTCCGAGACATGGGGCTCACGGTGCACACGGGCAGCGGCGGGTTCTATGCAGGGCGCTGCCCGCGATCACCGCCCGCCCCAGTCCGGGTGATGCCCGGAGAGCCGAGAGGCGGCCCCGACACTGGCGGAAGACATGCCGAGAAAGGCGCCGAGCAGCGGCAGCTCCAATGCTGTCCGGCAGCTGCCGGAGGCGGCCCCTGGAAGGGGCCCAGGGGAGGGGCCCAGAAAGTGGGAGCGGGGCGGCCCCCCTTTCGCTCGCGGGCTCCATCCCGGGGCTGGATCGGGCCCCCAGGCACGTCGGGCCCCGCAGTCGCGGGGGCCGATCCGCGGCAGGGCACGAGGGGGCACGAGGGGCCTGCTGCGTGCGACGGAGATCGCTCCCGCATGCGGCCTCGCAAGGAGCCAGGGCGGGCGGCGGAAGGCGCGGAGCCTGTTCGGGTGACACGAGGTCGAGGCTCAAGCCTCTCAGCGCGCGGTGGCAATCGAATCCCACGTGCGCCCCTCAGTCTGGCGGGCTGGCGGGCTGGCAGGCTCGAGAAGCCTGCGCACTGCCGCCGGGCCCAGAGAGGGGCCTCCCCGACCAAGCAGGCATTCGACCCCCGAGGGGGGGGGGCCAGGGTGAGGGGGAGCAGGGCGGGGCGGCCCACACGCTCTCTTGCCCCGAGCAGGTGTGGGCTGGCGGGCCACTGGATGGAGCTCCCGGAGGGCATGAACTGCGCGGAGCTGAACAGACGGCTGTTCAAGCGCGGCGCCGCCATCCTCGAGGGGCCCACCTGCGACATGGCGCGGCCGCACTCCAAGGACCCCCGGTACGCGTCGCCCTACGCACGCTTCTTCCGGTTCAGCTTCGGGCCGCTGCCGCCGGAGACCTTCGAGGAGGACGTGCGGATCTTGCGCGAGGTCCTGGAGCAGTACAGGGCGGACGTGGCGGCAGGGCGGGCGTGAGCCCGAGCGGGAGCAGGCTGACCCTTTTTAAGGCCAGGCTGGCCCGCGTGTGGGGGGGTGCCGGGCCCCTGTACATAATGACCCCCCCCCCGCGGGCGCTCATTCAGGCGGCTCCTCGCATGCCCCTCCGACCGCAGGTTGGCCAATGCGCAGCCAAGCGGGGCGGGGGCGAGGGAGCGAGAGGGATGGACGAGGAGCGAGAGGGCTGGGGGGAGCTGAAGCGACGGGAGCAGGGAGGCGGAGGCAGGGCGATGGAGGGGGAGACAGGGAACGGGGACCAGGGGAGGGGGGGGAGGGGTCGGGGACGGAGAGGGAGGGAGGCTCGTCTTCCTTTCTCCCTCCCCCGTCGCTCCCTCGTTCCTCTCTCCTCGCTCCCGCTCCCTTCATGCATCCCTGCATCCCTGCCTCCCTCTCTGCGGGGGAAGGGCAAGCAGAGGGGGCGGGGGCACGTGGCGGAGGTGGGAGATGGCAGCTCCTCGAACAGGCCTCAGCCACGCGCAGAGCGGGGTAGCGGGAGGGGGAAGGCTCCTTAGAAGCACCCTTGCGTCTTCGGAGGCGCGGGCCTAAGGCCGGCGCCTGCTAAGAAGCAGCCTCCTTCCAAGAAGCCTTCTCTCCTCCCTCTGAACCCCTTGTGCGCGCCGCCAACGGTCCTTCGGAGAGGACTTGGAGTGGACGCCTCAGGAGGGCACCCAGAGGCCCATTCCTCTTGCGGGCAGTGTTGTTGGGTCGACCTGGGGTGAGCAGGTGCACCCGAGAGATGGCGAGGCGCCCGCCTCGCCCGCCGTCCAGGCCACATCTTCACCCCCTGGCGCCGGGGCGGTCACCACGGGGGGAGCGGTGGCCCTCGTGCGCAGTCCGGAGCAGCAGCTGTTCCTAAGGGTGCCCCGTGCATCCGGAGCCTCTCGGCCCCTCGTGGCCCTCGGCCACGGGCCATGGGCCTCCCCTTCCGGTTTTTCCGCTTGGGCGTCCAGGGCCTCGCACCCTTCCCGCGCATCTTCGTGATCCGGTCACGCCGTGCCCTCTGGGGAACGCATGGTGCCGACAATCTCTCGAGACGGGCGCCGAGGCCGATGGGCCTCCAGGGGGGGGGGAGAAGAACGACAGCTCCCCCAGCGGTGGCTGGTCGGCTCCCTCCCCCCGCCGCCGCCCTCCTCGCGGGGGGCGGCGGTGAGGGGAGGGGGGAGGGGGGACGGGACCGATTCGGCGGCGAGCCCCAGGGGGAAGTGAGAAGGAGCGGGCCCTCTCTGGGGAAACAGAAGACTCGAGCACGCCGAAACTCGGGTTTGCCAACGTTTTTTGACGAGCGCGCCCTGGATTCTGACGGTCCAGTTTCCGTGGGAAGTCTGCGGCGGGAGCTCGCGTCAAATTTCGGATTTTGTTTCGTCATTTTCATGATGGCCCCATCAGGCCAACCCGAGCCCCCCGAACTCGAGTTACGTCTGCCCGATTCTCAGAAGGCTCGGAAGTCCCCTGGCCTTTGAGAAGTTTTCGAAACCTTCCTTCTCAGAAGGTGCGAGGGCTTCTGAGAAGTCCCGGCGCCTCCTGAGAAGGCCTTCTCCTTCTCGCTTCCCACGCTCGCCGCCGACCGATGGCCGTGGCGAGGGCCTCTCGGAGATGGCGTCCTCTGCCGCGCGGCTGGCCCGGTTTCCCGCGTGGAGTGCGCCGGAGAGAGTTCGGCCGTACCCGCGGGGCCCGCCCTGTGGTCTGCCGCCTTGCCGCCTCCTGCCTCGGGGGTGGACAGAACCCCCAACAGTGACACCTCGATTAGTGATCTGTCCGTTTTCGCTTCTCGAGAGGGCGCCGTGGCCGTCATTTTCCAGTCCTGCGCCCGCCAGGTTTGGGCCCGTTTTCACTAAACCACGTTTTACTAAAGGGAGGTCTGTCCATCCCCGACTGCCGCTTGGCATCACTTGGACGTGGGCACTTTTTTTCTCTCGGCAAGGACCAGCGAGGCGCATCATGTAGGTCACCTGGCCCCTAAAAAGAACACGCAGGGCACCAACACAGGCACGGGGAAGGGACGTCTCAGCGACGGTAAGGTCGGGGGGGTCGGAGGTGGTGCCCCGAGGGATCGGGCCCCGGGGATGGGAGGCGGGGGTGACGGGGGGGGGGGCATAGCCTCGGGGATTGAAAGTGGGGGGCAGGAGGAGCGGGAGGAGCGGGAGGAGCAGGAGGAGCGGGAGGAGCTGGAGGAGGAGGAGGAGGAGGAGAAGGAGGAGGAGGAAGAGGAGGAGGAGGAGGGAGGAGGAGCAGGAGCAGGGGCAGGAGGGGCAGGAGGAGCTGGAGGAGCAGGAGGAGGAGCAGGAGGAGGAGCGGGAGCAGGAGGAGGAGGAGGAGGAGGAGGAGGAGGAGGAGGAGGAGGAGGAGGAGGAGCAGGAGGAGCAGGATGAGCGGGAGGACCCTCGGAGGAGGTCCTCGGGTGCGCATGGCAAGGTAAGGGGGCAGGAGGTTCTCCCGTATTCCAAACATTGTCACTGGAGCGCAAAGGGTCGTAAAATGGTTCCCAGACATGGAAAAGAAACGGCTCCAGCATTTCAGCCAGAGCCAGAACCAGGAAACAACGGCGACGGAACCAGGAAAGAACTTGCGCTGGAACCATCAAACAAATTGCAAAGTGGAACCAGTAAAAATAATTGCATTGTAGTTCCTAGGGCTTGGTTCATTTTCGGAAATCACAGGCACGAGGAGGAGGAGGAGGAGGAGGAAGAGGAGGAAGAGGCGGAAGAGCAGAGAGAGGAGGAGGAGGAGGAGGAGCAGGAGAGGAGGAGGAGGAGAGAGGAGGAGGAGGAGGAGGAGGAGGAGGAGGAGGAGGAGGAGGAGGAGGAGGTTCATCGACCTCCTTGGGTACGTGCGAGGGAAAAAACGAGCGCACCGCCCAGGCGCTCATCCCCGCCGCCCGCTTTTCTCTCATGAGATAGAAGCTTGGAGGATTCATTGACCGCCGTGGGTACGTGCGAGGAGGAGGAGGAGGAGGAGGAGGAGGAGGAGGAGGAGAAGAAACACAATAATCTGGAGCAGGAGGGGGAGGAGGAGGAAGGAGGAGGAGGAGGAGGAGGAGGAGGAGGAGGAGCGGAGCAGGAGCAGCAGGAGGAGGAGGAGGAGGAGGAGGAGGAGGAGAGGGGGAGGGTGAGGATAACGAGGAGGAGGAGGAGGAGGAGGAGGAGGAGGAGGATGAGGGGGAGGAGGAGAAGGAGGAGGAGGAGGAGGGCTTCCAGGTTGAGTCTGCATTGTTCAGGGCCTCCTCGCTCTGGGGGCCCCACGTCTCAGGGCCCCACCTTCGAAGTGCCGATGGCCCTTCCGTCCCCGGCTCGCTCTCCCTTCGCCAGGGCCCCGCGCCTCGTCGGGCCCCAGTGCGGCGCAGAGCGTCCAGGCGGTCACGGGCTCCAGTGCCTCGCCAGCGGCTCCGTGCGTGGCTGGTTTCCGTTGCGCGGACGGCGGCGCGGATTCCCCTTATCACTTCTCTTTCTTTTCTCCTTGAGTCGCAAATCACGGCAGCCTGGTGTACCATCTTTATTCCGTCTCTATCGTCGATCAGCGTTTGGGAGTCGATGAGGTAGCGCCGATTTAGCGTCGGCTAGCGTCGACTAGCGTCGATTTAGCGCTGATTCGCAAGAGCCGACGAGGTGGTATAGGAGGCTCCCATGAGTTGCCACCGAATGCTCCTCATCATCTCCGTCCCCCCCTCCCTCCCCCCTCCCTCGGATCCATCCTCCGCCCGCCGTCCCCCCTCCTCATTTCCCACATTCCCCCCCCTTTTGCCTTTTCCCTCCCTCCTTCTCCTGCCCACCCTGCTCCCTTGCCCCGCTCCTTTCTGCTGCTGCTGCTGCTGCTGCTGCTGCTGCTGCTGCTGCTCCACAGCACCTCGCCCTCCCTGCAGGAGATGCGCTGGGCCACATGCGCGATACGGGGGTCGCACTCCTCGCTGCTCCCTCGTCCCCTCCGCCTCCTCCCCCCGTCCTCCCTCGTTTTCCCCATCTCACATGTCCACCCTCCTCCTTCCTCCTCTCTGCCCCCTGCCCCTCCCGGCTGCGAGGCCCTCTCGTGCGCGATCACCAGGAAGGTGGATTTGCTCATCGCCACGATCGAGTCGTTGGAGCGGCGTGCGGCCGAGGCAGCCGCGCAGACGCCCGACTGTCTCCCCCCCTCCTGCTCCCACGGCCCACCTTAAGTCGGGCATGTCCCTCTACAGGAGGAATATGAAAGAATAGTCAACGCATTGTCTGGGGACGATGTTTGACTTTTTGTTGATTATTGTTGAAGATTTGCCTGGGCTATTTTTAAGATTTCGTCCAACATCCGCCTGTAGGAGGGCATGTCCGACCAAAAGCAATCTCCCTCCTCACCCCTCCTCTGTCTTGTCGTGTTCCTTCCTCCCTGCCTCGCTCCTCCGCCCTCCTCTGTTCTTCTCCCTCCGCGAGCTGGCCGAGACCGACGTGCCGTCGGCTCCGTCGGCTCGAGCGGTGCTTCGTGACCAGTCCGCCGCTCTGTGGTCAGGCAGGCTTCTTGATATTCCCAGGGGGTTCTAGTGTTTCCCAGGGGGTTCTAGTGTAATGGTTCTTGCACTCCAGACTCCAGACGCACCACATGTGCGGAACAATAATATGTGTACAATGCAGACGAGGTGTTGGAATCTTTGTGATGCAACGTAGGAGATGCACTACATGTAGTGCACCGTCCCCGGTACGAGGTATGTGCTGCAATGTATGGGATGTCGTCTAAGTTGTGCAATGTAGTATGTTCAACCTTTGTGGCGAAGCCCATGCGGTGCAGCCAGTATAGGTCAATATTTGGGTTGCAAGCTACGTGGTGCAAAGCCCCAATGCTCGCGCAATCATCCCACCCTCGACATGTTCGGCAACGAAATGTTGATATTATTATTCAGCTGCCTCGTTGGCTTGGGTTCTCCAGGCTTACCACTGTCCATCGTCAATTCGCAAAAACCTCCAGCTACCTCCTACCCGCAACTTGTTCGACCACGATTGTGGTTACTGACTGGCAATTGTTGGCGCACTTCGGCGGCCGCGCTGGCGCGCGCACGCTAGCGCGCAAAGCGACCAGCTGGTTTGGCACAATTGATGCGGCCGCGATGGCGCTCAGCGATGGGAACTTCCCAGCGCGTCTCAAAGGCCCCGCTGGCGCGCATGATGTCGTCGGCAACGGTGGCAGCGATGATAGTACCGATGGTGGTGGCCATGATGAAGATGACGACGACAAGGCCAGAGACGGCGCAGATACTGGTGACGACGATGACGATGGCGAGGATGGCCGCAACGGCGGCGATTGACGATGACGGTAACCGCGGTGATGCGATGGCGTTGGGGGGGGCAGGGCGCGCGCAAGCGTTGGCCCGATCAGGCAAGCGTTTTGTTGAACAGTTGTTTGTTTCTTTCTTTTATGTTTTGAAGAGCTCTATCCTGCAACTCTTCGACCCCATGGGGTTCGAACGTGTTTCGACGCGCGCGCGTGGCCCGCATGACATCATTTGATGCGGATTCGTGCGTTGGGCGCGTTCCAGATCAACGCGGAAGCACCGCGTTGTGAGATGAGAGTGTGGGTTCTGGGCGAGTCTGCGACTTTCATTTGGTTTTCCGATGGTCTCAGCAGGTGCGCGCCGGCAGACGACCTGCACGTTTGAATGTGGACAGGTTTGCCACACTTGGTGTTTTTGGTGAGGTTTCGAAATGCGCGCGCTCGCGTGTGGACTCTATCGTATTTGGTGTAGATCGGGTTTTCGGAAAACGATTTTTTCGACACAAGCGACTGCGCGCGCATGACACTTGTTTGACAGGGTTGAGAGACGGTATCAATGCTGGCCTGGCTGGGGTGGTCTGATTTCCCATGGAGAATGGACGATGGGGCGCTATCTGATGCAGGTAAATACCCCAGTCGGGCCTTTTAGTCCGGGCGCGGGAGTGTGGCAGAGTCTATCTCTAAAAATCTGAGAACCTGCGCGTGCACCCAGAAATGCCAGGCAGCGCGCGAAACGCCCACGGGCTGGAACTTTGGAAGCGTCAGCCAGTAAACGGGGCGCCCACGAGGCGCTCATGGGTTTTCACACGTCGAACGCCTGGAAGCGACAGCCAGAACACGGCGCGCCCACAAGGCGGCCACGGGCGCTCACGGAGCGAAGCGCCCGCAGCGATGGCAAATTATTCCCCACATGTTTCGTGGGGTTATGGTTTTCTTCTCTGCCGCGTCGCACCCGCGTCTTCCTCACCCGCCTCCCTCTTCTTCTCCCTCCCCTCACGCACACACAGACACACAGACACACACACACACACAACACACACACACACACGACGTATGCGTACAGACTGGGTACACACCTGAGGCACACGTCCCGATACGGCCGCACACGTATGCGCTACATACTAGGCACGCGCGTGAGGCACACGTCCCGATACGGCCGCACACGCATCATACACACACATGACATGCCATATGCAAGACGTGCGTGTAGCATTCGCAGTGCACGGCAGGCTTTGCACTTTCTCGACACCATAGGGGGTGGTGCGCAGGGTGTGGTCCCCGAGTGCGGCGCATATGCGGGCCATGGCGCGGGGCACAGCGGCGTGGCGCTTTCTGGACACCATAGGGGGTGCGCAGGGGTTGGTCCCAGAACGCGGCGTCGATGCGGTCCATGGCGCGGGGCATAGCAGGCGTGGCGTTTTCTCGACGCCTTAGGGGGTGCGCAGGGAGTGGTCCCCCAGCGCGGCGTCTATGCGGGCCATGGCGCGGGGCATAGCACGCGTGGCGCTTTCTGGACACCAGGGGGGATGCGCAGGGGTTGGTCCCCGAACGCGGCGCTTGTGCGGGCCATGACGCAGGGCATAGCAGGCGTGGCGTTTTCTCGACACCATAGGGGGTGCGCAGAGGGGTGGTCCCCGAGCGCGGCGCCTATGCGGGCCATGACGCAGGGAATAGCATGCGTTGCGCCTTGTCGGCGCCATGGGGGGTGCGCAGGGGGTGGTCCACGAACGCGGCGTCTATGCGGGCCATGGCGAAGGGCATTGCAAGCGTGGTAGTTTCTCGAAACCATAGGGGGTGCGAAGGGGGTGGTCCCCGAGCGCGGCGTCTATGCGGGCCATGACGCAGGAATAGCAGGCGTGGCAGTTCCTCGGCACCATCGGGGGTGCGATGGGGGTGGTCCCCGAGCGCGGCGTCTATGCGGGCCATGGCGCAGGGAATAGCAGGCGTGGCACCTTCCCGACACCATAGTGGGTGCGCAGGGGGTGGTCCCCGAGCGCGGCGTCTATGCGAGCCATTGCGCAGGGCATAGCAGGCGTGGCAGTTCCTCGACACCATCGGGGGTGCGATGGGGGTGGTCCCCGAGCGCGGCGCATATGCGGGCCATGGCGCAGGGAAAAGCAGGCGTGGCACTTTCTCGACGCCAGAGGGGGTGCGCAGGGAGTGGTCGTCGAGCGCGGCGCCTATGCGGGACATGGAGCAGAGCATAGCAGGCGTAGCACTTTCTTGACGCCTTAGGGGGTGCGCAGGGAATGGTCCCCGAGCGCGGCGTCTATGCGGGTCATGGCGCAGGGCATAGCAGGCGTGGCTGTTTCCCGACACCAGAGGGTGCGCAGACGGGTGGTCCCTTAGCATGGCGTCTATGCGGACCATTGCGCAAAGCATGCCCGGCGCGGCACTCCACAGCAGTACTGTAAACATTCTGGCTCGAGTTGAACGCATTTGGCTTCCGCGCCGCACCGCCGGGGTGTCTGCGTTGGTGCGGCGTAGATTCCTTTTCAACGGAATGCCTCCCAACTGGGCTATCGCCGAGCTGCCGCCTCCGCGCATGCAGCTGAAGACTTTTATGGTTGAGAGCGGTTTCGAGATCAGTCTGTCAGGTTTTCCGTTTGGCCCGAATGAGCGACCAAGGGGGCGTTTTGGTTAAAAGGCGCGTTAAAAGTTGACCGCCGCCAGCTGACAAACTGGTGGCCTGATGCGCTTCTCACCCGCTACGACGAGCTGGGTACAAGAGCGAACGATGATGACAGGAGGGAGTGCTTGGACATGTACTTGCAAATCTCTGCCTCGGGCGGGCTTCCCAGAGGCACCCCTTCGGAGACGGTTGGGGCGGTGGCGACAGAAGACGGCCCGACGCAAGCGAAGGTTCGGCGACTCGCTGATGCTAGCAGCGCGGGCGCTAACCCGCAGTCTCCATGCGCTACGTTTGCTGCGCCCACGGGGGCTGCGCCCATGCAGGCCACGCCCATGAAGGCCACGCCCATGCAGGCCTTCACCCTTCAGCGGTCTCCAGCAGTTATGCTTGCTGCGTCTGTCCGTTCCACTGGCACCCCTCGCATTCAGCTGTCCCAGGAGCCGGCGGGGATGGACTACCGCTGCTCGCAAGGGCCATGGTCGCGAGAATTGCGGGAGTCGACTCTCCCTGAGAGCCCGATCTCCCGCGCGGATACGAAGGCAGTCAAACGGCACAAATAATTCGCAGCCGAACGAGTTTCTGATCCAGAGTACCGGCCGTCGAGAAGCGGCGACGACGCCGACTTGTGGAGAGCGCTCAACAGGTTCTCTACCAATGACGCGTCTTTCAGGATGGATGTTCCAACCCTTCGTTTGTTCGCTATGCACCCAGACATGCTCGGTGGAGCCGGCGCCAAGTTCTACGGGGAGGTGAGCGACGTCGCCCCCTGGCGATGGACGTCCCGAGCCGTCGCGGAGCATCGTGGCATCGACTCAAGGAGGGCCGGGACATCATGATTGCGCAGCTAGCATAATGATAAGCAAGCAATGAGACATAAACTAAATATGTGGGGCCCGTCGGTAGCGTAATTTAGACATGCAAGTGCGAGACCTTAATGCCAATGTTGTTTGCGGAACTTGTGTTCAGAGGGTTGCACCCATGGGTTGCACCAAGGGTATGACGTGTCGCAGTTGCCAGAAGTTGCGCCCATGGGTTGCGCCATGGGTGGGAGGCCACAGTTTGTGCAAGGTCTGGTTGAGATCCTCCGTGGCCGTAGGGCGCGCACATGGATCGCTCGCGGGTTGCCGCAATTGGCCGCACCATCGAAGGCGCGATATTCTTGATGTTTCAGGTCGCGCCCATAGGTTCCGGCAGAGGCAGCGCAGGTGCTTGGTAGTCGGAGGTGGCGCCCAAGGTGTGCGTGATAAACTGTGTTAGCATTTTCGTGGCAATTTTTTTTAAAATGTTGGTGCGGTGCTGTTTATGTGCTTCGCATATCGTTGCATTGCACGGTGCTGCTTGGAATCCTGGAATCCCATAACAAAAGCGGCATACGTTTCGCATGCAAATCAAATATCAAATAATCGCTGTGCCGACCCCACTGATCCTCCCTTTGGCCCATCGCCCTCACCCTACCTCTCCCCTGTCTTACGGGCGATCTGGGGCCTGATTGCGCGAGGTCCTCCCTCGTGAGACCGATGGCACTGGATTCGTCTGATTTTGTTCTGGCGTTTCCTGTATCAGGCGCAGGGCGGCGTAGTCTGGAGCATCATGTCGCAGCGCGCGGAGCTTCAGAGACGAAGTGATTTCCCAAAGAATTGATTTTACTTCGTTCATGGTGTTTCAACATGGCCTGCGCAAGGCATTTACCTATGTTCCAACACCGTTCAGAATTTACTTGATGAGCTGAATGCTGTGCGACCTCAAAGTTGGAATGTCCATGGTGATGTTCGGCCGCTGCTCGGTTTTTTATATTCAGAGTTGATTGGTACGCTTTGATTGTTACGCTGTTTGTTACGTTTCGATTTGCTACTTGGGTTTCGCAGTTGCCCACCCGCCTGTCCCAGTGTCAGTGCATTCGCGTTCTCAGCCTCGTAGATATTGAGTTGTTGCAAACGGTTGTCTCTGGTGCAAAGTGGATGTGTCGCAAGGTTTGGGGCTGCTGGCTTCCCAAAGAGATTCGGTTGAAGAGACATTCGGATTTCAAACATGAGAGCTGATAGTTGCCTCCGAGATTGGACGGCCGAGCTCCAGCAGCATAGTTAGTTGTTGCGAGAGTCGACACGCAACCCCCGAAGCATGTGTTCATCAATGGGGTCTCGCGGCGCCCGCCAGCCAGTCCTATAAAGTTCTGGTAACTTGTGCGTCCTCGCAGCTGCTCCGGGTCAGAGATACTCAAACTCATGAAAAGACAACGTTGCATGTGATGTTTGGTTGATTTGTTGGTCCTGTGGAAACAGCAAGGGCGCCAATTCACACGACGAACCATCAACAGGGCTTTCTCAGTTTTGGTGGCCGCTCCAGTGGCGGAATACTGTGATTTGTTTTCGAGGATGGTATCGGCAGACCATGATGTTGTTTGCTGTTCGACGCCGTATCATTGACGTGCAACGTTGTTCCGCTTAGCACGCCCGGAGCCGTTTGAACAGCAATCGTGCGGTTTCCTCACTTAGGATTTAAAGGGGAGTCTTCATGTAAGGCAAACGGACAGCTGGCCAGGCCCAGCGCGCACCGTTGAAATCGGAGCAAGGAGCAAATGAGTGAGCACACGAAGGGAATTTGGACTGAACAAGTTGAAGAACGATCAACTGCATCAGCAAGCAGGCATGCTCACGAATGTACAGATGATTGTGCGGGATGGCGATGTTACGCGCGCGTGCAAGCACCATCTCTGCATTAAAGCCCTTCGTGTGCTTCATCTGCCTGTGCCCCTGCTCGGGGTTGTCAGCTTATTGGCGTCGACCGGCCCTGTAAGGGTCGGCGAACACAGCGAACCACAAGCCACCAAGGTTTTGTCGGTTGCAAGACACGCCCACGATGTCGTGATTCCACCTCCCCCATCAGCCTATCCCGACACTGTACTCAAATCAGTTGCGCCGCAGTGCCCGAAGCGACCCGTGCAACCTTTACCTCGTGCATCCCCTGACAGATCGCACAGGAGTCCCAGGCGTGTCCTTTCGTGCTCTCGCCCTGGTGTCCACGCTTTTCCTGCGGTCGGCCTGCGGCGCACTTCTCCCCGGCGCCCCTGCCAGGCGGAGGACAGGGAGGAGAGCTGCGAGGTCGAGAGTCTGCAGGCCGTCCAGGCTTTCGACGAGGTGAAGGGCCAGCTGACGAAAAAGGTCATTCAAGCGGAGGCATGCTGGGGAGGAGGAGGAGGAGGAGGAGGAGGAGGAGGAGGAGGACTGTGGATTTGGCGGCTGAAGAGGGGCACCTGAGGAGAAGGCGGAGGAGGCGCACGAGGAGGCAGAGGGGCAGGACGGGAGCAGGAGGAGGCCGACGAGGAGGGCGGGGAGGCGGAAGAGGGAAGCACCGTCAGAAGCAGAGAGGTAGGTCTCAGGCGAAAGCGAGGTTCTTGAGTACAACGGGAGGAAGTTTCGAGCGGGAGCGGGGGGGGGGGCAGTGAATTGTGAGGCGGTCTCCGACGGGCGCCGTTGTTGTAGTTCGGGGACAGAGGGCCCAAATCGAGCCTCACGATTTTCCCTGATCAAGAACAGGATGCGAGCATCAGGAGGGGCAAACAAAAACAATGTGCGCTGGAGGGGGACCAACAACAATGACTGTTCAGCACTTGAAGTTCAACACCATCAATAACAACACCAACAACAGCACGACCACCACCACCAACAACATCAACATCAACACCACCACCACCAACAACAACCATCATCAGTTCAAGACTGGTCGCTCTTACCTGCTCGCGCGCCATCCAACACGTACATCCCAAACATTGGATACCCGCCGTCCTCGTTTTCGATCGCACCCCCTGGGGTTCTACTTTTCTTACGTGCCGCGTGTAATTGGTGCAGCCCTTAAACAAGGGAAGGAAGGACGGATGGAGGGGGATGGAGAAGGATGGAACACGTGGTTGAAGGGGGGCAGGAGGGGGGGCTGGGAGCAGAACGCACGTGGCAGAACCAAACGGGATGATCGGGCGGGCAGACCCTAGTGGGCGGCCCGGGAGGGCGGGCCTGGGCGGCCATGTCGACCAGGCGGGTTGTTGAATTGTTGTTGTTGTTGTTGCTGTTGTGGTTGTTGTTGTTCTATTGTTGTTGTTCTGCCTCCAGCGACTATTTTGTCTTTCCAGTTCACGTGTTCCTCCCGGGGCTCGCACCCTGCTTTTGTCAGGGAAAGCTTGGTGTCACCAAATTGGGTTGTTGGGCCCCGAACTACAACAGCAACGGCTCCCGCCGAATACTTCCTCCATGTATTGAACATTCGCTCTCTCACGCGGGACTTCCTCACAATGTATGCAGGAATCGCGCTCTCGCGTGGGACGTCCTCGCAATGTTCTCAGGTGCTCCAGCCTTCTCCCTCCCCTTTCCATCCGTCCTCTCTTCCCGTGTTTCTGGGGCTGCGCGAAATGCACGTGGCAGGTAAGGAAGATATGCCCCAAGGGGGTACGACCGAAGACGAAGAGGGCGGGCATCGAGGGCTTAGAACATACGTGTTAAATAGCAGCCTGGCAAAGAGGAACGAACAGTCTTAACATGATTGTTGTTATTGTTGCTGGTGTTGCTGTTGCTGTTTCTGCTGAGTTCTCACCACGGAAGAACAATTATTGCTGATCCCCCTCCCAGGCCACATTTTAGGTTTTTTCCACTGAAGTGCCCTTCCTGCAGCTCGCACCCTGTTTTTTACCGGGGGAAGTCTTGGTGGGTCTCAGAATTGTGTGTGGCCCCCAGATTACACAAACAACGGCTCCCGCTATTTCCGCACAGTTTATGAGATGATCGCGCTCTAGCTGGGGAGGTCCTCGCAATCCATGCAGGAAACGTGCGTTCGCGTGGGACTTCTTCGCAATGTATTCAGACGCCGCGCCCTCGACACTCAGGAGTCACGCTCTCGCTGTGGATTTCCTTCGATTTACTTGGGAATCGCGCTATCGCTCGAGACGTTCTCGCGGTTCATGCAGGACGCACGCTTCAGCAACCAGCCTGCTTGACTTGGCCGCCTGGGCCGGCCTTCCCGACCCGCCCGCTAGTGTCTGCTCTGCTCACTCGATCTGCCAGTCTGATTCTGCCATGTGTTTTTGCTCGTCGCCTCCCTCCTGATAATTCCGTGCTCCATTGGTCTCCTTTCCCCCTCCATGCGTCCCCTCATCCCCTGCTTCAGGGGCTGCGCCGAGTTCACGCGGCAGGAAAGGACGATATACCCTTAAGGGGGTTCGACCGAAGACGAAGAGGGCGGGTAACGAGAGTTTGGGAGATACGTGTTGAATGGCACGCGAGCAGATAAGAGCGAACAATACTAAATTAGTTGTTGTTGCTATTGCTGTTGCGGTTGTTGTGGTTGGTGTTTTGTTGTTGTTGTCGTTGTTGTTGAAATTGTTGTTGATGATGCTGCTGATGTTGTTCCACTCTCATTTCTGTAGAATAACTATTGTTGATCCCCCCTCGGGTGATCATTGTGTTTTTCAATTGAAGTGTTTCCCCCGTGGCTGGCATCCTGTTTTTTCACCCGGGAAAGACACAATGGTCAAAGTGCGCCCCTGGCCCCTGGGTTACAACAACAACGGCTCCCGCCTGAGATTCCCTCACACTTTATTCAGAAATCAGGCTCTCGCGCGGGGCGCCATCCCAATTTGAACAGCAATCGCGCTCTCGCGTGGAGCTTCCTCACCATGTACTCAGACGCCGCGCCGTCGACACTCAGGAATCACGCTCTCGCTGTGGATCTCCTGACGATTTACTTGGGACTTGCGCTATCGCTCGAGACTTCCTCGCGACTCATGCAGGACGCACGCATCAGCAACCCGCCTGCTTGACCTGGCCGCCTGGGCCGGCCTTCCCGACCCGCTTGGGAGGGTCTACCCTCCCGTTCTGCCCGTCTGATTCTGCCACGTGTTTTCTGTTCCTAGCCCCCCTTCTGTTAATCTCTCTCGTGCTCCATCCTCCTCCCTCCCGTTGTCCCTTTCTTCCATCCGTCCACTCTTTCCCTGCCTCAGGGGCTGCACGCTATACTCGTTGCAGGGGAGAAAGGTATACCCCCAAGGGGGTACGGCCGAAGACGAAGAGGGCGGGTATCGAGGGTTTGGGATATACGTGTTGAATGACACGCGAGCAGATAAGAGTGAACAGTTTTGACATGATTGTTATTGATGTTGTTGAACAGCATTACTTCTAAAGAATAATTATTGTTGGGACCCCTGGTGCGCGCCCCCCCCGCCGCGCCTAGGCCGCAGCCACATTTTCATCATTTTCGTGAGGAAGTCTCAGGCAAAACGTGGGTGTCCGGATCCGGTTGTTTTGTTGTCCCCCGTTTTCCCTTGCAAAAACTAAGCTAAAGTGGACATTTCTTGTTCTAACATAACCAAACTTCAAGAATCCCTTGCAAAAAATAAGGTAAAGTGGACACTCGCGCGCGCAAGACGAAATCCTTCCAAAAACCTTTGTTTTCGTAGCGATTTTAACATAAACACATCAAAAAAGCAATGGTTTTTCAAACAAAAATTGTCAAAATTTCATCCCGCGCGCTCTTGCGGATTCGTAGGAAACCCAACACTTTTTCAACATTTCTGTCAAACGGGCTTTTGCGAGCAACTTTTTCAAACTTCTGCAACAACGGTTGCGCACCTGCCAGGGCCATCATCCCTGTCAAATAATACCATGCGGGACACATTCGTTTTTTCTTCGCGCGCGCACGCCGTCGTCGTCGGCCGCGGGGCCCTGAATAGTAGCCACGGTCGTCCGCATGCCACGAAGTGAAGTGTCCGAACGTCATAGGGCGGGAAGCTGGGTGTGGGTGGTGGCGAAGAGTCGTTTGGAAATTTGGTAGAGCTTGAACCGGCCCCCCCACAAAGTGGGGGTATTGCCCGCCTCCTATGAAAACCCTGGCACTGGTGAGAACGGAGTGTCCCCACGTGCTAGTAATTGTTGTTGTTGTTGTTGCTGTTGCTGTTGTTGTTGCTGTTGTTATTGTTGTCATTGTTATTGTTGTTGTTGTTGTTGTTGTTGTTGTAGATGTTGATGCTGTCGCTGTCGTTGTTGAACGTGCGTTTTTTTACAGAATAAGTGTTACCCTTCTCCAGTAACAATTTTTTGATTACATTGCTTCTCCCGTGGCTCGCGGGGGGTCGCCAAACTGCGTTGTCACCAAACTGCGTTGTCGGCCCCCGAACTCCCGCCTGATAATTTCTCAATGTATTCCCAAATCGCGCTCTCGCGCAGGGCTTCCTCACAGTGATTACGGGAATCGCGTGGAACTTCCTCACCATTTATTCAGACGCCGCGCCCTCGACACTCAGGAATCACGATATCGCTGTCGATTCCCTGGCGATTTACTTGGGAGTTGCGATGTCGAGGGTCTGGGATATACGTGTTGAATGGCACGCGAGCAGATAAGAGCGAATAGTCTTAAAATGATTGCTGCTGCATTTCCATGTCGAAAGAATAACTATTGTTGATGCCCCCTCCGGTGCCTTTGCGTTTTTGCATTAAAGAGTTCCTCCCAAGGCTCGCGGCCTGTTTTTTTTTATAATCAGGGAAAGTTTGGGGTCACCAAGCTGTGCTGTTGCTCCCCGGTTTGCAACAGCAGCGGCTCCCGCCTGATAGTTTCACCATTCATTCCAAAACCGCACTCTGGAGCAGAACTCCCTCGCAATGTATGCAGGAATCGCGCTCTCGCGTGGGACGTCCTCGCAATTTATTCAAACGCCGCGTCCTCGACGCTCATGAATCGCGCTTTCGATCCGGCGTTTCGCATGATTTATGTTGGAATCGCGCTATCGCTCGAGACCTCCATGCGATTCATGCAGGGCTCGCGCTTCAGCAATCCGCCTACTCGACCTGGCCGCCTGAGCCCGCCCTCCCGCAGCGCCCGTTCGGGTCTACCCGCCCGATTAGCCCGTCTGGTTCTGCCACGCGTTTTGTGTTCGTAGCCCCCTTCTAAATTTCTCTCGTGCTCCATCCTTCTCCTTTCCCCTTCCATCCGTCCTCTCTTCCCTTTGTTTTAGGTGATGCACCACTTGCACGTGGCAGGCAAGGAAGATTTACCCCCAAGGGGGTACAATCGAAGACGAAGAGGGCGGGTATCGAAGACTTGGGATATTCCTATTCAGCGGCACGCGAGCAGGTAAGAGCGAACGGCTTCGACACGAACAAATAACTGTTGGTGATTCCCCCTCTGGTGCACCTCG